GGCTCTTTAAATGAAAACAACAGGACTTCTATTTGTAAAGAGGAAAATAGTATCAGGTACTAATTTTGTTCATGTGGCATCTGACCTATCTGTCTTTGCTTTATGGAATAAGCCACCAGACTAGGAGTTGTAAACTCAGATGCTCCTGAGGGCCAGACACAAAAAAAGATGAGTGAAGGGGGCCAGATACAAAATTACTGAAAATGGTGGGGACTGGGCAGAATGGAGGGCTTACGCCGGGTCTCCGGCATCACTACTTAGCTGCCATGCTGGAATATGAGGTTGGTATTAGCACAACTTCCAGTTCTTCAAGAAAAGCTGGAAATTGGGATGTTTATGTGAAATTTCTGGATTTAACAAAAAACGCTATTGACAGAAAAAACCTGACAAAAATGCCAATTAGCTAACCTCGGTACTGGATTAAAACTGTGTGTGTTCAGGGCCCTGCCCCTTGTGTGTCTTTTCATAAGTTTCACCAGAGTCTTGCCCAGCACCTGCATGTTGAAGAGCAGTTAGCAAATATTTGTTGAATGCTACTCAGTTTTGGGTGCTGGAATGAAAACTGAGTTTTCAATAGGGAATGACAGTTTGATAAGCTTTCCTAAGAATTTAGAATCTGGTCAGTGAAGCTCCTTTTGCTGTTTCCTGACTGGCCTTTGAGAATATCTGTGTCTCTTCTTTAAATTTCAGATATAGAGGCCAGTTTCCTGATCAGAAAGATGGAGATTGTTAATTCATTTACGAAAACACAACACAGAACTTAAAAACAGAATCTTTAAAACATAAGTCAGCATTCCTTATTTAAAAACTTCTGGTAGAGTGAAATAAGGTGTTTTCAGTGTGGTATTGCAAATGAAGAGTGAATATGGGAGATTTGGGAATTTAATATTTAATAACACTTATACACGGTTTTTGGAAAAACCTGACAAATAAGAAACATTTCACAAATAAGACTCTGATGCCACTACACCAATCACATAGTGAATGTTCTGAATACATAAGTTGAGTGATAATTTATCATACGAACACACACACCACCAGAGACTGCAAATGTAGGTGTGCTGAAGGGTGTTTTGTGTTTCCTGGGGTATTTGGATTAATCTTCTCACCTGCTTTTTTGCATGGAGCTCTTGCATGGAGTGTTATAACTGGGACAGGAGCAGATGGAAGAACTGCCTACTTGTATAAAGGATTGCATCCTGAAGACCCCATTGTGTTGTCGGACAGCAGGCCACAACCACTGGTCAGGGCATGCTGGTCAAAGGCTATCCCCCAATTTAACTTCCCATCCACGGTCCACCATTAAGTCTTTCCTGTTCACTTTTCAGTAAGCAGCCAGTGAGGAAGCAGGACACAAATGAAACGTAAATGCTCATGAGATATGGGTATAAGTGCTCATGAGCTGACCTCAGTAAGAAGGTGGTGTCAAGGAGGGACCTTGTGGCCTTGGGCTCTTTATTACCCTTCTTTATTGCTAGGGCAAACATCTCAAATGCAGGCTTAGTAGATGGGACTTTTCTTTTACAATTCACTTGACCTCCCAGACCAAATAAATAACAGCAGTAGCTACTGTTTGCTTACAGCTGACTCTCTGCTAGGTATTTTCCATCTCCTTTGCTTTGTCCAACCACCCTTTTGTCAACCACGGAGTTGCTGAGAGGGCAAAGTGATCATCATCCAACGTAAGAGCGGTATTACCAGGACGTGTGTCCTGTGTGTACCTGGCACATACCTGTACCTACTGGCCTTTTTTCCTTTTCCTGTTTTCGCAGTCTAACAGCGTATAACTCCTGAAGGCATGGACACATAGGGATATGCCTTTCTGTGTCTCTGTGACAGTTACATTGTTACTACGTATATAGTGGATGCTTAAAAATGTTGGAGATTCTTTGCAATGATTTTTGTGGTTACTGAACTCTTTAGGGTGAAAAGAATCCAGTCTTGCCAGACTAGAATGATCTCAGCATGAACTAGCAGTTGCTGAGTCGATAGTCTATTTGCCTGGCCTTGTGTGCTGCCCATGGTGGGTAAAAAAGAAATAAAAGACTTGCCCTCTCCTTTTGGGGATCTGGTGATCTGCCTTTAGACATGGGTAAGAAACACCCCAACCATGGGCTCTGTGGGTTAGAGGACTGCCTCTGATGTCACTCTGGCCATGCCTCCCACCCCACTGCAAGAATCTGTGGGACTCAAAGCCACATGTACCCTCTTCAAGACCACGTTCTGGGTATTCAGGGGCTGAAATTCCCTACTCACTCATCCCCAAGACCACTTCCAGGGCCTGCACAGGTATCCTCCAGGGCCTGACACTTGGGCATGAGCAGGGTTCCAGGTACCTATCCCCAGGCCTGCAGGTGACAGCTGCTTACAGAATGTGGGTGGGAGGAGCTTGGAGGAAGCAGCATGGGGCATCCACAGGGAATGGTTGAAGGCAGGTTGGTGTGGGATGGAGCAGGGTAGCAGAGAAGGTACTGGATCTCCACCACATTCCGATACGGAATGGCCAGGTGCCCAGAACTCGAAATTCAAGGCTGGATCTGCAAGGCATTTGGAAGCCACATTTGTCCAGATAGGGGGCATAACACTTTTTCATTTAAGAGCTTATCAGGTTGATTGAAACCTCCCTGTGGGAGGTGGGCCTACATTGTGAACTCTTGTTCCAGACTTTACAGTGTCAGGGGCAGGCCCTGCTGGGCCATCAGCTTCCCTCACACCTGCACAGGTCGGCCAGCAGAGTGCATGCCCAGAATGCCCAAGGCTTGGTGGAGGGGTTTCTGTGCCTCAAGGCTGTTGGGGAGAGAATGGGAGAGGGCCCTGCCTCTCTAAACTTTCTGTGAAATCACCAGGGCTCATTTGCATACCACCACTTTGCTCTTGGTGGCTGGGGAAGTGCTAAACCTATCTCTATTAACAAATACCATATTGCCTTGTTTCCTTCCTTACTTAAAACACTTTAGAGTGCTTTTGCTCAAGTTGAGCGGCTCTACACGTGCAAATGCATAATCAGCTGACAGCAATTTCAAAATTGCAGGTCTCGCTGCCGATGGAAAAATGGGAGCGTTGTTATTCCTTGTGCATAATTTTCACCAAGAAATGGGGGGCTGAATTTAATGTCAACACTTAAAATTTAATGTGGCCCTATTGCTGGAAAAATATACCTTTAGCCAAACCCTGCCTTAAAACAGTGTCTGCATTGTCTTGCTGCACCCCTCACCCCCATTTCCCATTCCTGAGAAAAAATGGGCTTGAAAGAGGGTTCAGCTCAGTACGGGGCTGGATCCCGCCTTCCGTCTCCATTTCCTGGGCACAGACGGCTCATCAGCGGAGCCTGCCTCTGCCTGGAGGGAACCCACCACCTCTGTTTCTTGAGGAAATTGGGTGGGAAGGAGTTAGGGGGTAGAACAGGAATGGAAGAATAGGGTGGGGGCAGTTTTAGGCTCTTGTGTCCAACCCAGCTGGGAGATGGGGGCGGCAGGTGGTTCCTTCAAAGCATTAGGTCACTGTGCGGCGCCCTTGCCCAGTTTGCCCTCACTGCCTCAAAAAGGCTTCCTGGCGTGTGTTTCAAATGAAAAGAAATTCAATTTGATTTGATTTTAAAAATGCAGAGTGTGGCTGGGAGTGGTGGCTCACACCTGTAATCCCAGCACTTTGGGAGGCTGAGGTGGGCGGATCATAAGGTCAGAAGATGGAGGCCATCTTGGCTAACATGGTGAAACCCTGTCTCTACTAAAAATACAAAAAAAAAAAAAAAAAAAAGAGAAAAAAGGGGATATCAGGACTCCCTTTGAGATGGATAATTGGTGCTACTCTGTGTGGTTAATAGAAACCAAAGTGGTTACTCTTTGGGGACTAGCAGAAAAACCAAGGCTTACTGGGAAATTGGCATTGGCCGCATGTGTTTCCTCTAGCTATTAGTAATTTGTCCCTCAAATCAAGTCCAATGAAACTAATGAGTTAAGCATCTGCTTTTAACTTCTTCCCACTGAACTGCCTGGCAGGTACCTCCTTTTTCTCTGGGGAGCCATTGCTTGGATGCACACACATGTTAAAACCAGGTTTCATGGGTTTGCCCTGAACCATGCCCTCACACTCCTCCAGCCGACACCAACCATGAACAAAACTGGTCAACAGTGTCAAGACTTCTTTATAGCGCGGCTCCTCTTGAGGCTGGCTCCACCTTCGGCTGCACGGCTGGGGCTCTCGCCCGCCTCTCAGAGGGTATGGAGTGCTCCTTCTCATGTTTGTGTCTTTGAGGAAGCAACTTGCAGAGGCCAGGGTGCATCTCTAATGACTCTTCTCATTAGCACAGACTGCAAGCCCTGTGGTGCACACGGAAGAAACTCAGTTCAAGACCCAGGGATGGCCTCAGGCTACGGGGTAGGCAGGTGGTCTGCTTAGGGCGAAGACCCAGACCAGCATGTAGGTTGTCCCAAATGCCCTTGGCACAGGAAGAAAAACTTCTGGACAGGGTGCTATAGTTATTTTTAATTTTTTCTTGGCTTTCCATGGGGGTGAGGTGGAGGCCCAGGTGGTACTTCCAGAGCCAAGGAGCAAAACCTGCCCTGGAGGGGCTACGCCAGCCACGGTTTGGTCTCAAAGAGACTGAAAGCCCACCCCTGTGCACAGAGCGCTGAGCCCCAGGGCGTTCAGGCCACACCTGCAGCCGTTGTCTGGGTGAGGCTGAGGGCCTTGAAAGGGCAGGCACACATGCCCAGGTGCCTGCTGGGCTCCGAGAAGGCTGGCTGCTGCCCAGCTGCCCAGACCCTCCATGTCCTTCCATGCCCTCAGTCCCAACTCTCTTCCTGGGGTTGCGGGGAGCAGAGGATGCATGCACAGTTCCCACCAGAACCTTCCTAAGACCCAGAGCTGTAGCAGGGAGGGCATGAACGCCAGTTTCTGAGACCTTCTCAGCCAGGTGGCAGTTCTCACTCCACACCCTTGGGGGCCCCTGAGTAGGGAGGCCTGGGTGTGCTCACCTAACATTACCCTGTGCTTTGCAGACGGACTGTGCCCTATGGACTGTCCAACAACAAAGGAAGGTTGCGGGGCAAGAGGTCTGCGGGGCTGCTTCCAGGGAGCCTGCCACTCTCACAGCGGCCACACTTGCGCTGCACTTGTGCGGAGAAATATGACAAAGCCTGCCTGCACTTTTGCACCCAAACTCTGGACGTCAGCAGGTATGACACCTCCTCTAGTTTCACTCATTTGCAGACGTGAATCAACCCTTGACATGGCCAGGCCAGGGGCTTCCAGAAGGAGCGTGTAGGATGGTTCAGTCACAGCCTGACCACTGTCACCCTGTGGGCCAGAGAAAAGAGGTGCTGAGCCCAGAAAAGACCCAGGTATCCAGCATCAGGAGGGTGGGAGACGCAGTGTCCCCGCCCACTCGCTGCCTCTCGGAGCAGAGGCTTTATCGTGGCCGTGGCTTAGTCTGCTCTCCAGACATACTGTTTTCCTGGCCTGCACAGCACACTGTGAAAATCTGAATAAGTTGCCAACACTTAAAAGATGGAAGAATTAACCCCCACTGAATACATATTTTTAGCCTTTCTGAAAACAGCACATGATAAGAGCGCAAAAGGTTTATTGCGGGGAAAAAAAAACAGCACATAGGACCATGTGGCCTCAGAGTCCCCCCATTGCTTTGGCCACTATTGGCTGGAACTGAGTGGGGGCATCTCACGTTTGAGTAGGATGTTTAATATCCATTTACCTGTGTTACTCATTTATCTTACTTTGTGGCCCTTGGAGGCCCCCAAGTTTGAGACCCTGTGGTCTGTCCTGGCTGCTTTAGGGAGGCTTGTCAATCATGTCGAATGGAACCAGCAAGCAGACCCCATGTTTGAGCCAGGAGCTTTGAGCTGGTATTCACTGAACAGGTATTCCTGTTAATGCTTCTTACTCCTCTCTTTCTTAACTTTGGGCCAAGATTCATGAACGCAGCCAGGCAGAGCAGCCCTTTCAAAACCCTTCCTGGAGCAGGCGGAGGTGAGCTGCCCTGATGCGCACAAAAGAGATATAGACAGGGGTGGGCTCCCAACAAGGCAGACACCATAGTGCGCAGGACCTCAGGGTCTGCAGTCTGCGAAACCCAGTGTGAACTGCGTTTTTTTTTTTTCCTTCTTCTGGGCTTTTAAACATCCGATGAATAACTGAGTGGTGAGTATATTCTGTACTTTGGTAGAAATCCACCCACCGAGCGCTCAGCCTTCAGAAACTGTGCCTGAGACACAGTCCTTGGGGAACGCACTAATGTGCTCGTTGGTGGAGAAGAGGAAGTCATAATCTGACACCGAAAAACCAGCCACATGAAAAGCCAGCTTGATTCATTAAAACCAGCTCTCTCCCCACAGTAATTCAAGTACAGCTGAAAAAACAGACAAAGAAGAGGAAGGGAAGGTGAGAGGTGCCAACAGAGGCCTGTGTCAAAGGAGGTGAAGATGTGACGTGTCATTCCTTCTTGAGGGGGAGAGTGTTTTGAGGGGGTGGCATTTGGTCTAGTCCAGTGGGGACCCCAGATCTCATGGGATGCTGTACCCACAGGCAGTGGTGCCTTTGGTGGACCGCCTCTGGGGGCAGAGCAGGCTGAAGCTGTGGACGGTCGTGATCACTTGCCTGGCCCTGGCCACCCTGCTCTGTGTCCTGGAAACCAGCCCTTGCATCCCTCGTAGCTCTGGGCAGTGACATCCTGCTTGGATTTCACCTGGCTTGGAGAAAGCTGACCTACCACCGCTCTCAGAGGCCCCACAGGCTGCTCTACCCAGGCTTATGCTTCACCTCTGCTTCCTTAGCAACATGTGGTCTTTCTCCTCAAAAAAAATCATTTCTTCCTTTCAGCAGCTGATTCTGGACAGAGGTGAATCACAGCAGCTTGGCAGCAGGCCCCTTGGTTCTCCAATTCATTTTATTATTTTTTTTAACCCACTTGTGTTTTTCATATGAGAGATCCTGAGGATTTCCTGCAACCAGACTGTTTTTCTTTGTCCTTCTATCAATCAGAAGTTGTTATTAATGACTCAGCCGCACATCTGCAATGGGATGGGAATTTATGTTCATAATAACGGCCTGGAGGTGGCTTGGGTTTCTACAGGGACTGATCAAGGGAAGACGAAACCATGCTCAGTATACAGGAGGCTTTCCAAATTGGTGGCAGATCGCTTCCAGTCTAGTCCAGAGAGGGATCTGTCAGCATCCATAATAAAAATGCAGCAGGAGGAGGAGGGCCGAGGTGGCAGAGACAGAGCCTGGGAGAGCATGAGTCAGACCCAGATGGTCCCACTTTGCCTCTTCATTCTTTTTCCTCTTTTTCTCTTCCTCACCCCAAACCAAAGCTCCTCTCAGTGAGGGCGGGATGTAATTAAACCCATCCATCCATTGCATCATTTATTCATTCACTTATGCATTCGTTCAGCAAAGACTTGTTGAGCACCTGCTAGGGGCTGGGCACCATTCTGGATGTTGGGGACACAGCAGGAGCAAGGCACAGGATCTCTTTTATGGAGCTTAACTAGTGGGGGATGCAGACGGCAAACAAGTATGTACAATATAAAGTGAGATTGCAAAGGATAACAAAGGCACAGCAAGGGTAGGGAGTGTGGGGTGGTTGTGATTCGAGATGGGGTTGATGCAGCCTCGTCTTGAAAGGTGTTCTTCCAGGTCTCTATGACTCATGTAAAGCTCTTGTAAGAAGCTTTACTTGGGAAGAAAAAGTCTTTTATGAAGCCAATGTTCTTGCTTTCCTACAAGCTTCAAGTTAGTAATTCCCAGACTCTTATTCTCAGAGTGGAAGCTGCCGCCATCCTTAGCTTGTGATAATCAAAGATGGGGCCAGGCAGCGGGAGGGCTCCTAGCAGCCGTGTCTGCTGCTGTTTTTCTTTTCACGCCTTTCCAGTCTGGTGGTAGGCTCGGGAATTGCTGAGAAGCACTGGCAAGAGGGTACGTACAGTTCCAATCAGGGAACAGGCTGGAGAGGCAGTGGGAAGACGTTCCATTTTCAGTTTCACAGAGCTACACTTTCATAACACACCTTCTTTTTTCTTTTGCCTCCTTTCCCCAAGATAGGTTGAAGTCAAGGACAGACAAAGCAAGCAGGCTTTAGACCTCCACCATCCAAAGCTCGTGCCCAGCAGTGGACTCGCCCTCGCTCCGCCTACCTGCCCCCGCTGCCTCTTTCATCAAGGAGCCCCTTAGGAGGACAGACCTGCAGCATCCTCGTCTCGCGAGGTTTCTCTCCTTGCTCGCACACAGTTCAGATTTCCACCTCTTTGTGGACAAGAAGTGAATTTGCCTGGGGCAGGAAACCCACCCAAAGAGTCTCCACTTAACAATACCCCCCTACTACAAGAATGCCCAAATCCAAATGACCCCAGTTTTCCTAATGGGTAAAATGATCCCAGATGTGCTCCAGACCATGACGCCCGCGGCTCCGGTTTCATGCAGGAAATTGTGTTTGAGAGGTTTGGCAAGCTGAAAGCCACTTACTGGCTTTTGACATGACTTCTCTTGCAGAATAAGTGGACTCCAAAGCTAACTCTCTGCAAATGTAAACATGTGTCCATTTTGTAACAAATGCAAAATGCCCATGCAGCAGGGGCATGTGACTTTCATATCCTGAAAGTCAGACCTAGAATAGGCCGCATGGCATAAGTCAGTGACGGACACGACGCGTCGGCTTTAGACACGGATCATAGCTGTACAGGAGTTTATGAATTTGAAGCTTATGGGATTTAGGCAGAGAAATTTTCAGCTGTGCTTGATACCCACCAAAAGAATGTATCTTGAAAGAAAGAAGAAAGAAGAAAAAAGGCACCTTGGTGTTTGTGATGAGAAAAGGAGAAAGTATCTGCAACATGGAGCTTATTCTTGTTCAGTGACTGACCTTCCGTATTCTTTGTAGACACCAGACGGATACACAATGGAGTTCCCGGGCCTTGTTTGCAGGAAGCTGACTGTAAAGACAGCCCCAGCTCAAGGCTATTAGGTTGAATATTTGCTTTCATGAATAAATGTGGATCTTTGGGAAATGGCTTCAAAATAAGCCACGAACACAAATTCTTTGTAAATTATGTAAATTCCTATTTATCTTTATAATTGGCAACAACTGGGAATTGTATTGCCTGACAGTTCAAAATCTCTTTCAGCTGCACTCGTCCTGCCAAGCTGAGCTTACTGTGAGTGTGGAAATGTGACTCTGCCATGTGAAGTCGCCTGCGCAGGGGAGAGGCTGCCCATCTCCCCACCCAGCTGCAGAGATAGGAACCGGCATTTAAGTGGGTGTCCAGGGCCCCATATGGAGACATTTAAGATGGTGTATGACAGAGCATTGGCCTTGACCAAATGTTAAGTTCTCTATGTGTATTTCATAAGTTATTACAGGTATAAAAGTGATGACTTATCATGAGGAAATGAAAGTCGCTGATTTGCTGGTAGAATTTTGTACAGTTTAGAGAAGCAATTATTTATTGTGAAACTGTTCTCCAACTCCTTCATGTGGATCTGTTCAGAGTAGTCACTGTATATATGTACAGACAGGTAGATCGGTAGGTAGGTTTTAAATCGTGTCCTGAATCCAAAATCATATTCCTTAGAGCTTAAATTACATTTAAAAAAATGCATATGCGCTGTTTGGCACCGTGGCAAGATGGCATCTCAGAGAAACTCATTCATTGCTTGAACACTCAGAAAATGCTGTCAAAAGCATAATAAAAAATCTAAAAATTTGCTCTGATTTGTGGGTTTTTCCCTCACCATCTTTATATGCATGGTTGAGCATCAACTTTTCATGGACCTCTGGAGAGGACAGGAAGGAGTTGTGTTTTGGGAAGCAGAATCCATCTAAAGCCAATTATGGAGCTAGATGAGGGGCTGCCTGAATATTAAGGAAGAAGTGGGGTTTGGGACCATTCCAAGAACATAAAACATTCACAGCAGTAAGGGAGAGAGAAACCTGGGGAGAGAGCTGGTTTTTCCCCCAGCACCCTCCTGCCTCTCTAGCAATGGGGAGACTACCTTGTTGCCCTGACAGAGATTGCTGTGCAGCCCAGGAGTCTAGGGAGAGGGCGCTGCTGGGGGCTCGGGAGTCTAGGGAGAGGGCGCTGCTGGGGGCTCGGAAGTCTAGGGAGAGGGCGCTGCTGGGGACTCGGGAGTCTAGGGAGACGCTGTGGCTGCTCAGAGTTCTTGACAAACAGAAGGCAGAAATGATCACAACTGCAAACCTTTAAGGCTTGTTAGAGAAGATTGGGGATACTTGGAAGGAGTGTGGTTTTCTTCATTTTCTTTCTTTCTTCCTTTCCTGACTTCCCCAGCTGCCTTTTGAATCAAGAATCAGAGACAACTGGAAGCAGGGAATTGGACAAAGGTCCAGCCAAAGAGCAAAGAGAAATGGAAGAAGAGCAGTAGTTTTGATGGATAGCTGATCTGAGAAAATGCAAGAGCCACTTGTTTTAATTAAACTTCTTTTAGAGAGTTTTGACTTTGATGTATTGAGATAGTGTGGTGCTCATTCATTCTGCAGGACGTAGAGCAGCACACAGCAGGAGCTGCCGCGTTCACTGGCGGCACTAACCGGACCTGGGGTACAGGAGCCTGCCCAGATGCCACGGAGGCCCCAAGCAGAGGACAGCCAAGGACTTCCGGGAGTCATGGGCACTCCGAGGCCCAGACGTGGCAGGCTTTTTTGGCACCTGGGTGGAGGAATGGAGGGGCAGGATGGAGTTGTGAGCAGTTTTGGCTACAGAAATTGTAGAGCCCCTGGCTTAGAAGGAGTAAGAACTTCAGATGACGTATTAAACCATGAGTGTCAAGCCTTCTGAGCATGGAATCCTCTTTACCTGGGAAGGTTGCCAGCAGATTAAGCCCAGAAAAAAGCTGTTGAGCCTGGAGACCTGGATTTGACACCACCCTCTCCAGGCAAACCAGCCTTAAGCTCTCCAGCCTCAGTTTCTTTCTTTTTTCTTTTCTTCTTTTTGAGACAGGGTCTTATCCTGTTGCCCAGGCTGGGGTGCACTTGCACATTCACAGCTAATTGCAGCCTCGAACTCCTAAGCTCAAGCCACCCTCCCACCTTTGCCTGCTGAGTAGCTGGGACTACAGGCATGCACCATTCCACCCAGCTTTTTTTTTTTTTTTTTTTTTTTTTTGTAGAGATGGAGTCTCACTATGTTTCCTGGGGTGGTCTTGAACTCCTGGGCTTAAGCGATCCTCCTGCCTCTGCCTCCCTCAGTGCTGAGATTACAGGCATGAGCCACTATGCCCACACATCACAGCCTGTTTCTTCATTCATGAAACGGGTGTGGTAATGGCGCTGCCAACTTCGTGGCAGTATCAAGGGGTCAAGTCTTCAAGCTTTGCCCTGAAGTAGCCATCACCTTCTTGTTTTAACTAGAAATTTCTCATGGAGGCACATTTTTGAATTTATAATATACCTCAAAGTAATACAATTTGATTTATAGAAATTGTAAGATTTATTCTCTGTAAGGTTTATTGCCGAGTTTAAAATGAGGAAACTGAGGCCTGCATGAGAACAATTAGAAGCCAATTTATTTGGCTCAGGGGCAAGGTTCTATCGTCCAGGGAAAGGGGGCCAGAGAAATCATGCCTGACCTCTCTCAGGCCTGGGGTTATATAGGGAGGGAAGGCGCTCTGATTGGCTGTGGAGAAACAGGAAGTGGATGTGGCAAGCTGCTATAGGTAGGGTGGCGGGGATGGGGTAAGGCACTATTGGGCAGGTTTTGGCAGGAATTCTTTTAAATTTTGGTGGGGTTTTCCAACAGCTGGCTAGGTGCCGAGTGCAGAGTTTAGTGTCGAGTGTAGATCCTGGTGCTGAGTGCAGAGGGGATTTCCAATGGCAGGCTAGGTGCCGAGTGCAGAGTTTGGTGTTGAGTGCAGAGGTGGGCATGGCAAAGCTAGATGCTGAGTGCAGATTCTGGTGGCGTAATTTTCAGGCGTGAAGAGGGATGGGCATGTCCGAGCTCCAGGTGAGGCAACCGGCCTTACAGAAATTGTCAGAATAGTTAATTTTCTGTCCCCTGGAAGACATATGCTCTTCAAATCCCAAAATTCTTATATGGAAATTCTTAAGAATCTAAAAACATAAGCAAATCAAGTTACCTGTTATTGAGACCATTATAAGTCTGCTTGGCTCCTTCCATCACTGAATATGCAATTTCTTTTTTATCTGCTGGCAGGGAATTCTCAGAATTGTTGAGATCTGGGTGGTATCTAGTGTGAGGAGACTGTAAGAATTAGTTCCCTGTCAGAGGCCAGAATGAATCAACACAACCACCCTTCTGCTAGAGGTGTCTCATTAATCCTTCCAGCATTCCAGAACCATGTACAGAGTAAACGACAAAAAGTTGGGTGATAAATGGAAGAGAAAGAGGGATTAGGAATTCATGGCAGAGAAAAAGAATCCCATGAGACAGGGAAGGCATCCAGTGAACCTGAACTTGCCCCCTTTCCTCTCTGCCTTCCTCCTTCCCTTTTCCTTTCCTCCTCTTCTCTCCCATCTTCTCCTCCATCCTTAGTTGAACAACCTCCATCATGGAACTACCTTATGTAAATACCTACTTATCTATATGATTGGCAAGAACCTTCAGGATCAAGTCTGGCTCTAGGGGGTTGCACCATCGGCAGGACCATTGGACCTTTTCATGATCTTGCTTTTTGCTTATTTCATGAAGGGGTGCACTCGAAAAGGGTCCCTACCTCCTCCTCTACTTTCACCTGCATAGCAAATGTCCCCTTTGGATATTCTGGTGTTAGATTAACATTAGCCCCAGAAAGGGGGTGGAGGTAGAAAAAAAAAACCCAAAACCCCTTCTGAACAGAGAGATAAGTCTCTAGCATGCTGCCAAATAGAAGGCACTCAATTGATGTGTAATAATTCTGTATATAAAGAGATGAAATGGAACTGTAGCAAGACAGGGAGTATTGGCCCAGTCTGGGGGTGGTAGGAAGACTTCTTGGAGGGGATGAGTAAGAGTCAGCCAAGCCAAGCAATGCAAGAAGGACATCTAGGTAAAGGGATGAGCTTTGTTCCTGAGCAATGGCTTGGAGAAGAAGGCAGCAGAGCTCTGCGCTCAAGGAAAGCCGACACGCTCAGGATCTTGGGAACGACAGGTGAGAGGCAGGGCCCAGTGGGAGGAGGGAAGATGTAGACTGAAAGCCAGAGCCACAAGGAATGGATGACCAGGGTCACGACACAAGGAACTGAAGCCAACCTGTGACCTTTGAGCCATCTTGCATGCCTTGCAAGGGCAGGGTTCAAACACGCTCCTTGTCTGAAACGAATGTGAATCAGAGTGAACTGACTTGTCTGTGTGGAGATAGGTTCTTCGTTTTGCTATTTTTAGACACTCCCCTATACTACTACGCCTCCTGACATTCTTCCCAGCACCATCTTGCAGAAAACTGGAACGACCATCTAGCTGAACCCTCAAAAAGGCTTTCGTCCTCTGGGGCCAGGAACCTGACTTTCTTCATCTCACCATGGGTTGAGTCTGCTACACACAGAAGATGTTTATCACACACGTGTTGAATGAACAAACACACATAAACAAACATTGAATCTATAGAATGGAGATTGGCACAATTATACTACTTTACTATCAGTAAATATTTTATAATTTTTATAAATATTAAGAGATTTTTGGCTTTATGGGCTGCATGGTGTCTGTCACAGCTGCTCTGCCCTTGTACCTGGAAAAAGGCCACAGGTAATGTGAACATAAACAGGCGTAATCCTGTTTCATTAAACCTCATTTACAAAAAGGGTCAGTGGTCAGTGGGCCAGGCTTGACTGTGGGCTGCAGTTCGCCAGCCTCTGCCAGGGGTAGTGAATCCTCTATGTCTTTGTCTTTCTGCAAATATCTTTATTTGGAAATTTGTAAATGACAGTTTTTCTGGGGTTAGAATTTTAAGTTGACAGTAGTAGCCCCTTAGCTGGAGGATGTTATTTCATTGTTTTTGGAGGTCAGTTATTGCTGGTTAGAAATTTTCTCTAAGACCAGTCACTCTTCCTTCACGGGTTAATTTCTGGTGATTTGAATGTTTTTCTCTTTATGCTAGACATTCTGCAGTTTCAGTATAAGGTGTGTAGGCAGGGTTCTTTCCACTTAATTCATACCAATTAGAATTGGTTTGACTTTTCAACTGAAGGACCTCTCTCTCCCACTTGTTTCTGGAAGACTTAGCGTTCTCCTCCAGCACTGGCACTCCACTGTTCCCTGGCATTTCTGGAGTACCTGTTTAAACTTTACTTAAAGGGCTTGTTCTCTCCATTTCTCCTTTGCCTGCATATTTTGATATTTGATTTTTTCCCCTATTTCTGAGTCTGAGTTTAGTGTTGAACACCCGGGGTTGTCATTAGAGACTGCTGTGGATTATGGAGCGGCACATTGCTCTGGAAAGCTTGTTCCTGACTGTCGGTCAATCCACAGTAGTTCCTAGGACCTCTCCTTGCACCAGGTGTGTGTGAGGCACCCAGAACACACACAAATAAGTCTCCAATTTGTTCGAAGTGTATGACATCTTTTTAAGCCCTCAACATAATTCCATGATGTCTGTAATCTCTGTGTCCTCATTTTACCAATTATGAGGAAAACCGGGGCACAGAGTGGTTACCAGCCTGTGGCCACATAGCTAGGAATTGGTCCTCACCTGAACCAATTCATACTCACCTGAACATCATGCTCACCTGTACTACTGTGTAATTAGTTAATGTCAGGT